ATATATAATTATATATTCAGTACCTAATTTATATATAATTAATATATAATTATATGTACAGTACCTAATTTATATATAATTTATATATAATACTAAACAGACGATAGCAAACTCAATTTAGCCGCTCCGTAGCGTGGCGCAGGGTCGGAGGAAAGTAGTTCGGCTGCTCATCCACTATTGGTCCAGACTCTATCAATCTTCTCGCGAAACGATGTTATAGGAGGTACGTTATACGAAAGTTTCTACAATTTTTCGCTACGTTATAGGAATTGTCGTTATAGGAACGTACGTTATAGGGGGGTCGACTGTATAGAGTTTAACGTTATTTCACTGATGTAGATTAAAAAGTTGAATAAAATAAAATTTGTATGCTTTTTTATTAATTTTTTTTAATTGCTCAAATTAAGTATTTGACTCGTGATTTGGAGTTATTAAAGTTCAAATTTAATTAAACCACAGGTGGATCAAAAGGTTTGCCATTGCTGATCTAGATAATCATTTATTATCTAGTATTCTTTCCATTTTTATGTTTTCTTGATAATATCTCTGAAAGCTTTTCATTTTCATTCAATTTTCATACTGTATATTTAAAAAATTATTTTTTTTATATAGTATGGTTGTACTAATCTGAACTAATTGAGACCAGTGGTACTTCAGATTAATGAAAAGTTCAGTTTTACAGAGATACCATATTTTCTGCATTTTCCATAGTTTCTATGGAAGTCATATGTAAATTGTGGACTTAGACTTAACAGAACAAGTAACCCTAAAAACTAGAAAACTCTCTTTTAAACTCTTTAATAAGCATGCTAATATGACACTTATATGATACTTAATAAAAATACAGTATAATGTAATTACATACTTCTTAAAACTTCTGTTTCAGTGTTGCCAGATGTTTTTTCCTTTTAAAAGAAAAAAACATCTGGCAACATGAAATAGAAGTTTTAAGAAATATGTAATTACATTATACTGTATTTTTATTAATAATTATATAAACAATATAATTAATATTAAACAATTTATTTTTTTGTAATTAAAGATAAATAGGACTGTAATTGATGCAGATTGTCATATCCAGTTGTCATAAAACTAAGTAACACTTTCAGTTTTATCTTGTCCAAGAAATTGCATTTCTTGGACAAGATAAAACTGTAATATGAAGTATGTAATTACATTATACTGTATTTCTTGTCCAAGAAATGCAATTTCTTGGACAAGATAATTGCATTTCTTCAAGGTATTGCATTTCTTACTACTAGAACGATTAAGAATGTTTGTGTTTGCATAGCTACCAAAAATTTGCTCAGTATATCTGTGAAGTACCCTCCTCATAACTATCAGAAATACATGAGAAATCATGTAATTAAAATTGAGATGGCATTTTGCTCATTATAACTGTGAACTTGTTATATCTGTGTTAATTATAACCAAGTTAATTGTAATTACTTTCTATAATTTGTATTTTTGACATTTAATTTTGATTATTTACCTTATACTTTTGTAAGATATAAGTTTCCCTACAAATCATATATTTTCATAATATTAAAAATTTTTTTTCTAAAATTATAAGTATCATGAATTTATTTCTTACTAGTTGTTACCCGCGACTTTGCCCATGGAGGTTTTGCAAGCAAACCCCATTTATATTCAGTATTTCAACAACCATAGTAATTGTTATATAACACCTACCACTGAGAATGATGAGAATTGCTGAGAATCAAATGAAACTATTTTCGACATGATCAATTTTCTGGAACATTTACAATCGTTCTATAATCAAACCATTGCAATAACGATAACAAATTCAAATTTAAAACGGTTCGAACATTTGGTTAAAAAATCAAAATATATAAAAATATTTATAACAATGTCTGAAATGTTATCAGTTTAATACACCTAAGTACTTAATGAAGACTAAATGTTGTTGAAAACGAAAAATCGCATCTAAATTAATACAGTAGAAGCCATTCTTTTGATTAAGCCTTAATGCTCTCCCTCTCCCCCGCGGGGGAATTTCGAAAAATTCCTTCTTAGTGTGTGTTTCCATGACATACCCTAACTGTGTACCAAATTTCACCTCTAGGTTCAGCAGTTTGCTCTGGGCGATGATGAATCAGTTACTCAATCAGTCAGGACAAGTAATTTTATATATTTAGATTTATGGTAAATGTCTTGGATTACTACTTTAATTACATAATTTAAAATTATGATAAACTTAATAAAAGGCATTATTTGAAATGAACATTTAATAGTGTAATAAATCGTAAAACAATTTTTCTCAAGACTTCAATAATTATGAAACAGACATTAATTTCATAGATATAATTAATATCTACAAATCCACTATTGTATGTATAGAGAGAATCAATTATCCAAAACAGATTTCAACAAGAAAACTAGAACATTTAACATTGCAAATACCACAGAGACCAAACTCTATGTAACTGGAAATTACTAAATCATCTGTTGATTGTAGAACTGTGAAGCTAGATTATATATAAATATATATATAATGTAGTTTCACAGTTCTATATATATACATAATATTATATTAGATTTTGAGTAAATTAATTTGCCTTTAAATATATTAATTGCATCATAATGTTTATTGTTTACAAAACTTTAAATGCACAATATTTGTCATATCTAATAAGCAAAACAAACAAGTTTCTGGATTATCCAAAAGATTCCCTGGTTGCATCCATCAAGTTTAAATAATTGAGTTTTCACTGTATATTTGTATGTGTCATGGTATGATTTGTTTTATTATAATTTCTTTTGAATAAAATGTTTCTATTATTTTTTTGTATGTATGTATTATTAGAAATATGGTAATATTCTTTATAGCAAACATCTCTACAATAAATTTCTTACAAAATAAATTTTTTTCCAAGAACTGGCAGTTTTTATATAAAATAGTCTATTGTAAAAATTTAATTTACATTTAAAAACCTTTTAATTGGTTTCTATAAAGCTGCTTTTGTAATTTTATTATAATTAACTGTTTTTTATAATCAAAAATACAGAATTCAATTATATGTTACAGATTATTGACTACCTGCATTTTTATCTATCTATAAAATGTTTTGGTGAAAGGGTCTGAACTGTTACCAAGAAATTAAATAAAAAATCAAATAAACTTTATTACAGATTTTGCTTCTTTATTTTATGCATAGATCTAATTGTATTATAAAAACATAAAAATTATATAAAATCTTACCTGCAAGTAAATTCTTATATTTTCCTTATATAAGTAAAAAGAACAAATTCATATTGTTTACAAAACAAGTTTTGAATGAACATTACAAAAAAATTTTGTTGTTTTCTGCTTTTTATTAGTAAACTAACTTAATGAATTTAATTGTATAGGTTACAAAGAATATGAGTGGTGTTGTTAAAGCTTTGGACAAAGCAATTAATTCGATGGATTTACAAAAGGTATTTTTAATTTTATTTACATGATATTTTTAATTTTAAATACAGTAGAGTGTCGATTATCTGATTTAATTGGGGACTGAGGATGTTCAGAAAATCGATTTTTCGGATAACCGATTATGTACAAAAAAATACATTATTAATATAGTATATTAGTATATCCCAATAATAGTATATTAATATATTCCAAAATAATTGTAAAAAACAATGGAGTAGGACAAAATTTCAAAAAATTTTGAAGTTATATAATATCCATAAGTCAGAAGTGAAAGAAAAATATAATTTTTTTGTGTAATTTACATTTATGTAAGAAGAATAGAGCATATTAATATATTCCAGGTTTGTTAAATTTTTCTCCATTGTGTGTCGCTTTGTGTTGAATTTTCATCGATGTTAAGCCTAACGAAAATTTTTATAATAATAATTGTGGCTATTGTATTGTTAAAAATTATTTTTTTATTTTGTACAAGCAAAATAAATATATTAAAAAATATAAAAACAAAAAAATTATACTTTAGAAGTTAATCTAGTATCAAAAATGTTCGATTCAGCACGACAGTGTCTGATGGAATGCTTTCGGTTAACCGACATTTCGGTTGATTGGCATTCAGATAATCGACACTCTACTGTAATTAAATTCAGAAATTAAATTTTAAGAATAGTGAAAAACTTTTGTAATTTAACCTTTTTCAATTATTTTAAATTTTGAAAAAATTGAAATAAGTGACATTTTACAGTTTAATGCTTTTTATTAAAATGTTTTCATGTAATACACTTACCATGAGATTTTATAGTTTTTTGCAATAAAGGAGTGTTTGATGCTATTTAATTATGTATCAATTTTTTTTTCTACTCCAGACTTTTCTGGCTGTAATCTAGCTAGCTATATAAATTGCTAATCTGCATGACTGTATTTGTCAATTTTTAACATACCAAAATAAGGAATATCTGGAGTTTATTGTACCATTAATTGTCTCTAATTGATCAGTTTTCTTCTCTGATTTTTTTAAATGACAATAGACTAGAATATTAACATTAAGGTTTTTAAATTATGTAAAATATTTTGTGATGATATTGTTACAGGTATACTGTTTAATAATGTGGATGTTTTAATCAAAGAAAACACAATTTCAAAAGAAACATTAAAAGTGCTTTATTCAAAGTAATGTCCATCACTAGCTACACATTTTCCCCATCTTTCAGGTAATTTGTGGATACCATCTCAATAAAACTGTTTTTGTTTTGAGGCAAACCATTTAGAGACCCATTTTTCTACTTCTTCATATGTTTTGAAGTGCTGCTCAGAAAGTGCATGTGCCATTGATTGGAACAAGTGGAAATCAGGAGGAGCAAGGTCTGGTGAGTATGGAGGGTGGGTTAATATTTCCCAGGCACAATCTTTTAACATGTCTTTCACTGGTTTTGAAATGTGTGATGGTGCATTATCATGAAGCAAAATTACTTAGCCATGTCTTCTGGCCCTTTCTGGTCATTTTATGCTCAAATTGTGGTTCAAATTGATTATTTATCATCAGTAATAATCAGTATTAATGGTTTCACCTGGTTTTAGAAGTTCATAATACACTACACCTTCCTGATCCCACCAAATGCGAAGCATTGTCTTCTTTCTGAGGAAATTTGTCCTTGCAGTCAATGTTGATGGATGACCTGGATCAACCCACGATTTTGTGTGTTTAGGATTATCAAAATAAATCCACTTCTCATCACCAGTCACAATCTGATGCAAAAAGACTTTTTCATGCTGTTGAAGCAACATTTTACTGATGACTTTTCAGTTTTCCATTTGTCTTTCATTCAGTTGGTGTGGTATCCATTTTCCTTCTTTTAAAATCTTTTTCATTGCTTGTAAACAATCAGAAATTATTTGCTGAGCAATATTTAATCTTTCTGCAAGTTATTTTTGAGTTTGACATGCATCTTCACCCAATAATGCTNTTATATGTTACAGATTATTGACTACCTGCATTTTTATCTATCTATAAAATGTTTTGGTGAAAGGGTCTGAACTGTTACCAAGAAATTAAATAAAAAATCAAATAAACTTTATTACAGATTTTGCTTCTTTATTTTATGCATAGATCTAATTGTATTATAAAAACATAAAAATTATATAAAATCTTACCTGCAAGTAAATTCTTATATTTTCCTTATATAAGTAAAAAGAACAAATTCATATTGTTTACAAAACAAGTTTTGAATGAACATTACAAAAAAATTTTGTTGTTTTCTGCTTTTTATTAGTAAACTAACTTAATGAATTTAATTGTATAGGTTACAAAGAATATGAGTGGTGTTGTTAAAGCTTTGGACAAAGCAATTAATTCGATGGATTTACAAAAGGTATTTTTAATTTTATTTACATGATATTTTTAATTTTAAATACAGTAGAGTGTCGATTATCTGATTTAATTGGGGACTGAGGATGTTCAGAAAATCGATTTTTCGGATAACCGATTATGTACAAAAAAATACATTATTAATATAGTATATTAGTATATCCCAATAATAGTATATTAAAACATTCCAAAATAATTGTAAAAAACAATGGAGTAGGACAAAATTTCAAAAAATTTTGAAGTTATATAATATCCATAAGTCAGAAGTGAAAGAAAAATATAATTTTTTTGTGTAATTTACATTTATGTAAGAAGAATAGAGCATATTAATATATTCCAGGTTTGTTAAATTTTTCTCCATTGTGTGTCGCTTTGTGTTGAATTTTCATCGATGTTAAGCCTAACGAAAATTTTTATAATAATAATTGTGGCTATTGTATTGTTAAAAATTATTTTTTTATTTTGTACAAGCAAAATAAATATATTAAAAAATATAAAAACAAAAAAATTATACTTTAGAAGTTAATCTAGTATCAAAAATGTTCGATTCAGCACGACAGTGTCTGATGGAATGCTTTCGGTTAACCGACATTTCGGTTGATTGGCATTCAGATAATCGACATTCTACTGTAATTAAATTCAGAAATTAAATTTTAAGAATAGTGAAAAACTTTTGTAATTTAACCTTTTTCAATTATTTTAAATTTTGAAAAAATTGAAATAAGTGACATTTTACAGTTTAATGCTTTTTATTAAAATGTTTTCATGTAATACACTTACCATGAGATTTTATAGTTTTTTGCAATAAAGGAGTGTTTGATGCTATTTAATTATGTATCAATTTTTTTTTCTACTCCAGACTTTTCTGGCTGTAATCTAGCTAGCTATATAAATTGCTAATCTGCATGACTGTATTTGTCAATTTTTAACATACCAAAATAAGGAATATCTGGAGTTTATTGTACCATTAATTGTCTCTAATTGATCAGTTTTCTTCTCTGATTTTTTTAAATGACAATAGACTAGAATATTAACATTAAGGTTTTTAAATTATGTAAAATATTTTGTGATGATATTGTTACAGGTATACTGTTTAATAATGTGGATGTTTTAATCAAAGAAAACACAATTTCAAAAGAAACATTAAAAGTGCTTTATTCAAAGTAATGTCCATCACTAGCTACACATTTTCCCCATCTTTCAGGTAATTTGTGGATACCATCTCAATAAAACTGTTTTTGTTTTGAGGCAAACCATTTAGAGACCCATTTTTCTACTTCTTCATATGTTTTGAAGTGCTGCTCAGAAAGTGCATGTGCCATTGATTGGAACAAGTGGAAATCAGGAGGAGCAAGGTCTGGTGAGTATGGAGGGTGGGTTAATATTTCCCAGGCACAATCTTTTAACATGTCTTTCACTGGTTTTGAAATGTGTGATGGTGCATTATCATGAAGCAAAATTACTTAGCCATGTCTTCTGGCCCTTTCTGGTCATTTTATGCTCAAATTGTGGTTCAAATTGATTATTTATCATCAGTAATAATCAGTATTAATGGTTTCACCTGGTTTTAGAAGTTCATAATACACTACACCTTCCTGATCCCACCAAATGCGAAGCATTGTCTTCTTTCTGAGGAAATTTGTCCTTGCAGTCAATGTTGATGGATGACCTGGATCAACCCACGATTTTGTGTGTTTAGGATTATCAAAATAAATCCACTTCTCATCACCAGTCACAATCTGATGCAAAAAGACTTTTTCATGCTGTTGAAGCAACATTTTACTGATGACTTTTCAGTTTTCCATTTGTCTTTCATTCAGTTGGTGTGGTATCCATTTTCCTTCTTTTAAAATCTTTTTCATTGCTTGTAAACAATCAGAAATTATTTGCTGAGCAATATTTAATCTTTCTGCAAGTTATTTTTGAGTTTGACATGCATCTTCACCCAATAATGCTTGTAACTGTTGGTCTTCAAACATTTTTTGACTTTCACATTGAAATCATCACATTTAAACCAACGTTCACAAGTATCTTAAGATGGGGCATGTTTACCATAAGTTTCCCAAAGTATACAATAACTTTCAGCAGCACTTTTCTTCAAAATATAGTAATGAATTAAAACTTCCTGCAAATGTTTTTTTTGACAAAATATTTGACATATCTATATATATATATAAATGGATGTGTGTGTCTATATATTTCACTTTTCAGCCAAAACTATACATCGCACATGAATGGTGTTTGTATGTGGTAGTAGCCCCAAGTCTCCATTCGTGCACTATGGTGGTTGCATCTTGATAGCTATAAGGGTGCAGGAGATATGGGGGCTTAAAGTGGTTGACTTCGAAGATTTTCTATTTCGATTTTAAAAACGTTCGAACCGTTTTAAATTCGAATTTGTATTTGAATTGGTTCGATTATAGAACGATTGTAAACGTTCCAGAAAATTTATCAAATTGAAAATAGTTCGTTTGACTGGACATAAAAATTCTCTAATTAGTCTGGAAACAGGGGACCTAATTCTTGCATTCTGTGCTATAAGGGTGTGGGAGATATGGGGTTGAAAGTGGTTGACTTCGAAGATGTGTAACAATGGAAGTGTCAATAATAGAAGTGTTAACAATGGAAGTGTTGAGTAACAAAGGAAGTGTTAATATAAAGCAGCATGCAAGATTTACAGGCGGTTTTTTGCGTTTTTGTGGGAAATCGAACATATTTTTAGACTCATGTAAAAATTCTCTAATTAGTCTGGAAACAGGGGACCTAATTCTTGCATTCTGTGAAAACAAGTAAGATTGGCTTTAATGTAATTATCTTAATCTTCACTATCGTTACTTTTTGCCCAGTGAAGCGGGTCCTTGCAGCTAGATTCTAGATTACTTAGAAAAACAGTCTTTTATATATAAAAAAAACTATATTACATACAAATAAAAACCCAGTGAAGTGGGTCCTTGCAGCTAGTTTAAGCATAAAAATATCTATGATGTGAACACCTTCAGAAAGTTTGACATATAAAGTTTTAAAGCTTGTTGTCAATTCAACAAAATGGCATACACATCAAATCAGATATATATCAACATATCTGTACTGCCATCTATTGAACAAAATCTGCATTATTAATTGGTACACCTGGTATTTCTCTCATTATTATTTTTGGTATTATTTTTCTTGTCTATATAATTATTTAAATTAAACTATAAATTATTTTCTTGTATAACATTATATAGAACACCTATGTTTTGTGAACTATTTTAGTTTACTTAAAAAACTAAAATTATTTTTCTTCCTTTCTGAGATAGTATTGTTAGCATTATGAAATAAAGCCATATGATAGAAGCAATAAAACTCAAGCTGAGAAGAATTTTAATTAGTTATTACAACTCACAATGTTTTTATGAATTAAAATAATTAGCGTAAATTATCATATCAAGCTTATACAATCATTCTTAGAGTATTTCTTCAAGTTGCATTTAACTCATAAATAACTTTGAATGCAATGAAAGTATTAGAGAATTATAAAATAAAATCTGATGTAAAATTAACTTAATATGAATGATTATTTTCAAGAGACAGTAATATAAGTAAAAAAAAATTATTGTATTTTAGTATTTTTAAGTTAGAATGATTTAAATGCAGGCAGCTGGCATATATAGCTGGTATGATGGTCACAGTAATAGTATTTTAGAGTATAGTCAAACCTTGGTTTACGAACTTAATTCATTCCTAAAAGTTGTTTGGAAACCAATTTATTCTCAAACTGAAACAAATTTTTTCATAAGAAACAATGTAAAATGGATTAATCTGTTCCCAACCTGCAAAAAAAAAACTTTATTNATATTTAAAGAAAAAAAATTTTAGCATGGTTAATTGTTATGTTGTGTTGAATTAAGCTTCTGTGAATTTCTGAGTAATTTAAATTTCAGAGAAAAGCAGTTTAAAAATATTAAAGCCACAAACTATTGTTATATACATAAATATGTGTTTGTGTTTTTCCTAATGATAATTAACTAAATTAATAAAAGCATGGCATAAAAAAATTGATCATTTTATTATATTTGAGCTGAAATTTAACTTTCTTTCTGACAAAAAAAAAAAATTAGGAAAAAATGGAAATAAGCTAAGAATTATAAACATCAATGAATTATCCATAAAATATGTTTGGGAGTGGCTAATAATATAAGACTAATTTAAATGCATATTATATTTATATTAAATTAAAAATAATTTAAAAAACAGTTAATCATGACTTTTTAATTACAATAATTCTCACAATAAACGTATTCCAGAAATATGAGCACCCCTCCTCATATATTGTATTTCTCAAATTAGAAGCACATCATGAAATTGATGTACAGTACTTTAATTTTCGAAGTACAAGTATATGAGTAATTTGAAGTACTGATAATTACATGTGCAAGATAGATTTCTCTTCCCAAAATAAAAGAAAAATTTTAGAACTTGAGAAGTTGTTAATTTCATTTTCAGAATTGTATAAACCATGTTTAATAAGGTAAAGAAGGATACCCGTTGTCCAGAATTCATCTTGTACATTAAAAGTGAAAAATTAATTTCTCACTTTTAACATACAAGATGAATTCTGGACAACGGTTATCCTTCTTTACCTTATTAAAGGTTAAAAAGCAGTGGCATAAGTTACATGCCCAGCTAGTATTCTTAATAAACCATGTTAAAAATAATTTAGAAAAGTTAATTCTATGACTATTTTTATTTAAGATATAAAAGCATCTTTGAAATAAAAGAGCATGACCGAGATAGACATGCTCCTTCTCATACATTAAAAAAAAGTAATAATAATAACAAAAAGCATCTGCTTCTATATACTATATATTTTTCTTTTTTTTCCTTCAAAGTTACAGATAAAAAATTTTATTAATAATTGCAATTATCAGTTTTTGAAAAAATGCCTGTGATGTCTAATGACGCAAGGTGAATCTCGGTACCACTGACTCGGTCAGGCCATCGACTTTCTTTAACAAAGGAAGTATAAGAAGTTGACTATTGGTGATTGATTCTGTCAAGTGGCTTGCTTGGAAACTGAGCTATCATATAGCAACTGGAGCATATTTGCTCTAGTTGCCATATGGTAATTTTGTTTGTAAACAGGGGCATTCATAACCCAAGGTTTGACTGTACTTAGATACACATACCATTAAAGACATTTTTTCCCTCTAGAAGATCCAAGTTTGACTTTGTCAAGAACTTCGGGAATTTATCATGAATTGTCTGTTTTGGCTTTACCTCAGTTTGGCTTAATCAAATTTATGATGGATATGATTAAAAGGTTTTCTTATTGCTTGCAGGGCAGGAAGAGTTAAAAAAAATTTTGCATATATAATCAAACAATCTATAAATCAATAATTTTTTCCCAATTTTCTATTCAGCTATAAAAACTATTAAAATAATACAATTAAATTAATATAAAAGTTGGATATGTAGAGAAATTAATATAAATGTTTGTGTAATTTTTGATATATAAATTTTATTTAGGTTTCAGCTGTTATGGAAAAATTTGAACAACAGTTTGAAGATTTAGATGTCAGAACTTCAGTAAGTATAATTTCATTTCATTTCATTTTTACATGAAATATAATTTTTAGTTTTAGATAATGTGTTATATATTTATTAATTGTCAAAGAACAATTAATTTTACATGTTTACTTTTTTTCTATAAAATATTTGATAGTTATTATCCTTTGCATTCTATTATTAAATTTCTGTGGGAGTTGCATACATAAGACACTCCCATGTTTACATTTCTCACCCACATGCTTATAAACCTATTTGCTTGCATTTCCAAGTTAATCTATGACTTAAAACTTCAATTCTATAAATATAAATTGTAATATTAAAATGATTTTAGTATTTATTAATAGTAAAATTACTTTTATTATAATTTATGATTTTACATTAATTGTATTGATAATTCTGTTCTCTTATAAAAATAAAAATTATGCATTTTATATTTACTATATCACTCCTTTCTTTAGTTACAAAAATAAGTTTAGGCAATATAAAATGTATAAAATTACATATAAATTACAATATGGTCTTTCAGTAATTATGATTAATCTATTTTAGTGTATTACACATGTTAGTTATTAGGAATTATTGATACTTAAATCTTTTGATAAGTAATTTCTTGTTAAAAAATTTTTTCTAATAGATTAAATTTTTATGCATATTTTTATATATTAATGATATATAGGTTTTAGAAGATGCCATGGGTAGTGTCACAACAACTTCAACTCCTTTAGAACAGGTTGATAATTTAATACAGCAAGTAGCTGAAGAAAACGGACTAGAAATCATGGATAAATTAGCAGAAGGAGGAAGTGTACCAGCTGGCACTGTTTCAGTTGGGGAGAGATCCAAAGCAGAAGAGGATTCTTTAAGTCGCAGGTATTACTGTGTATTTGAAAATAAGATTTAAATATATGAAATGTTTTTTAGTATGTATATGACATCATTAGTTGTTTTTAACTTTTATTATTCGTGATAATTAGTAAAACTGTAGTATCTCAGTTATTTTAAAATTATAATGATGCATTTTTTTAACATTAGAAATATTAGTTTTATTAATGTTATTAGTAGTAGTAATTATAAATAATATTACATACAGTAGAGCATCGATTATCTGAATCAATTGGGGACTGGGGTTGTTCGGAAAATCGATTTTTCGGATAACCAATCATATATAAAAAATATAATAACCTGTCCCACGTTGAAATTTGTTCAAATCCTGGCACGTCCTTAAGCACCCTCTCATGGTCGTGTTAGTGCTGCCAGCTAAAACATGCACACCAACAAAAATAATATTGGAGTAATTCAAGACATAACCAAAGATTGCAAGCGATACAGCACTAGTAGAAATTAAAATTTGCCGACTGGAAAGCTTTTGGTTAATTGATGTTTCAGTTGATTGATATTTGGATAATCTATGCTCTACTGTAGTTAACTATTAATTATCACATTTATGCTGCCACTCTAGAAATAACTACTTTATTGGTTGCATTCGTGTTTAAAAAGTTTGACTATGTGACATCTATTCAGTATTTCTGTTTTCTGTAGTGTAATGCAAGTGTGATAAGATCTAATAGTCTAGCTCTTATAAATCTAGATTACTCTCATCACAACATATTATGTAGTGTATGTTGAATTATGTCTGTGGCAAGGCAACCTATATTATCTACACATGATGTTAGCTTGTAAAATTTGTTTGCTCCAAAGTGTGCTGACTAGCCATCAGACTGCTTCTAGAAATAGCATATGAATGATGTACTTCTATGGTTGAATATATAAATATTGGATTTTTTGTAATATTTAAAGAAAAAAAATTTTAGCATGGTTAATTGTTATGTTGTGTTGAATTAAGCTTCTGTGAATTTCTGAGTAATTTAAATTTCAGAGAAAAGCAGTTTAAAAATATTAAAGCCACAAACTATTGTTATATACATAAATATGTGTTTGTGTTTTTCCTAATGATAATTAACTAAATTAATAAAAGCATGGCATAAAAAAATTGATCATTTTATTATATTTGAGCTGAAATTTAACTTTCTTTCTGACAAAAAAAAAAAAATTAGGAAAAAATGGAAATAAGCTAAGAATTATAAACATCAATGAATTATCCATAAAATATGTTTGGGAGTGGCTAATAATATAAGACTAATTTAAATGCATATTATATTTATATTAAATTAAAAATAATTTAAAAAACAGTTAATCATGACTTTTTAATTACAATAATTCTCACAATAAACGTATTCCAGAAATATGAGCACCCCTCCTCATATATTGTATTTCTCAAATTAGAAGCACATCATGAAATTGATGTACAGTACTTTAATTTTCGAAGTACAAGTATATGAGTAATTTGAAGTACTGATAATTACATGTGCAAGATAGATTTCTCTTCCCAAAATAAAAGAAAAATTTTAGAACTTGAGAAGTTGTTAATTTCATTTTCAGAATTGTATAAACCATGTTTAATAAGGTAAAGAAGGATACCCGTTGTCCAGAATTCATCTTGTACGTTAAAAGTGAAAAATTAATTTCTCACTTTTAACATACAAGATGAATTCTGGACAACGGTTATCCTTCTTTACCTTATTAAAGGTTAAAAAGCAGTGGCATAAGTTACATGCCCAGCTAGTATTCTTAATAAACCATGTTAAAAATAATTTAGAAAAGTTAATTCTATGACTATTTTTATTTAAGATATAAAAGCATCTTTGAAATAAAAGAGCATGACCGAGATAGACATGCTCCTTCTCATACATTAAAAAAAAGTAATAATAATAACAAAAAGCATCTGCTTCTATATACTATATATTTTTCTTTTTTTTCCTTCAAAGTTACAGATAAAAAATTTTATTAATAATTGCAATTATCAGTTTTTGAAAAAATGCCCAATTTTTATGCTTAATTTGTAATATATCTGTGATCAGTTAATATTTTTCAAAAAAAATTTTTATTGAGAAAAAATTTAATATTTACTATAGGTTTTCTAATATAGAAGCATGTTTATGTGATAGAATAATTATAATTTTCAAATAGAAAAAATTTATTTGTAATTAGCTAAACATTAATTCAATGATAGGATAGTCCATCTAGCAGTACACTGGTGGAGAAAATCACAATTTTCTGGCAAAATTTTTAACAATAGAAAAGCTTGTTTTGTGTTTGGATAATGTAGGCTACCTTGCCTCTGTATACATGGATTACAGGTACAATAAATATCTTATCATTTTTCCACAGATGCTTTTTCTTGATTGAGTTTTCTGTAGTTATTGATTTTGATCAGTAAAGATTTTATCTATATTTTGCATTTTGTCTGTGTTTGGGATGGATATGTATATAATTTATAAATATTTTTGTTTGTCAAAAAATGTGACTGCAAATATGGTCTGTTGTGATGAATGGTTTTATTTAATATATATATTATATTTATTTAATATAAAATATATTATGATTAAACTATAATCATAATATATTTTATATCTAGATAGTATCATAGGTAGTATCAGAATGTCAGCAATTTTTTGGCTATTTTGATTTTTATTCATAACAATTATATATTGATTATTTAAAAACTATCAGGTAATATAAAACATAAGGCAATTTTTAAACAGATATCGGGTTAGCATTCACTTGTTCTAAGCAGATAGGCTTTTCCTGGGAATGTCCTCTAAATCCAAATTTTACTATTATTATGTTGTATTTATTTGTAAGAGAAGTTTTATGTTGATGAGACTGACTTTCCTCTACAAGGGCGAGTGAATCTTTCTATGAAGATTTTGGATGTATATACCAGTATGTACAGTACATCCGAAATCTGTATATATATAATATGCATCTGTATGCTTGATGTACTGTACTGTACTTACCATGATTTTGGATGTATATATACATCCAAAATCAAACATCGGGATAGAGATGTTGTTATCTAATATATATATATATTAGATAATTAGGTATACTAGAGATAGATGTTAGGTGTCATCTCTTATCTAAATTAACAATTATAATAATTTAATTATTTTAATAAATAATTTAAACAATCTGAAAGAAAAGAACTAGCTGGAGCAGGCTTGAACCTGCAACCTCCTGGAAGCAAAGGCTTGCTTGGGGTCCGGATGGTGTAACTGGCAAGCACACCGCATGGTAAGCAGAGGTTGTGGGTTCAAACCCTGCTCCAGGCTAGTTTTTTCTTCCAGTGTTCTAAATTATTTATTAAAAATTATTAAATTATAATTATTAAGAGATGATTCTCTTATCTAAATTAATAATTAATAATGTCTACCTCTACTACCAAATTACTTATTATCTAATTATTAAATATAACATAATAATATAAATTATTATGTTTTATGAACATCAAGGAATTATCCAGAAAATATGTTTGGGAGTGGATAATAATAAAAGACTAATTTAAATGCATATTATATTTATATTAAATTAAAAATAATTTAAAAAGCAGTTAACCATGACTTTTTAATTATGACTTTTAGATTATAAATGGCAATTGTTTTGCTTGGATTTCACTTCATTAATGCTATTCATATTTTCTTCTGGAGTTTTTGTATGTCCAATGTATAATTTCAAATGAGTGTGCAAATTATGGTGTGGCAAATATATTTGTTTTAATTTTTTTATTTTTTTGCAATAAGATTTGTTGTTAGTGCTGTGTTTAACCAGTTTTTCTATTATTTTCTTAAGTTTTGTTTTTGTGTATGTGAATTTATGAATATGGCCTGTTTGAATCCTATATACATAGAAATTTTGTTCTCATCCATTGTGTGTGATGGTGATTTAGCTATGTTTTATGGATGCATATACAGTAGAGCATCGATTATCCGACTCAGTTGGGGACTGGGGTTGGTCAGATAATTGAAAAGTCAGATAATCGAGAAGTATGAAAAAATCCATTATTAGTGTAGTATATTATATTCCACGTAATTAGTATATTATTAGTGTAGTATATTATATCCCATGTAATTAGTATATTAGTATATCGCTATTAATTAAATAACCTACTTCGCATTGAAATTTCCTCCATGTTAAGCCTATCAAATTTCTTTTAAAAATAATAATCGTCGCTATTGTATCGTTAAATATTAGAAAATTAAGCCTCGTTTAAATACTGGCTCCCTTTCATGGTCGATCCAGTGTTGCCAGCTAAAACACGTAAAAATAATATTAAAGTAGCCAAGACATAGCCAAATATTGTAGCGCCACATCACTAGCGGACATTTGAATTTGCCGACTAGAACGCGGTCAGTTAACCGAGGTGATGGTTAATCGGGGGTCGGATAATCGATGCTCTACTGTACTTTTATATCATCCATGTATGAGATGTAATAATGTATATTGTATCATTTTGCTATATTTGATGATGATTTCATACTCTAATTTGTTTGAAAATCAGACTAAGAATTCCAATTAGAATTCCAGAAAATCATAATTTCAATTTTATTTTGAATTCATAACAAGATTTCTATTTATAAATCAAAACTTTTAAACATATAACAGTTCATCTAAATTAAATCTAGTAATCATCTCATCTGTTCAAATTAGCTCATTTTAAACTTTTCTTTCTTTCCAGTTTACACTTTGCTTTGATTCTTTTTAACTTTTTTTTGTTTCAAGAAGTCTATCAAGGATTAACCTTTTTTCAGGGAAACCTTTACCCTTTGTTTTTAATTTTAGCTTATTCTATTATGTCCAAAGAATTTTCATTTTATCCAGTTACATGTTTTTAAACTATTTATTGATGTGATGTGTTTCTTCTTTTATCTGTAGACTGCTAGTAGAGTCAAATTTATATGTGCGTAATGCAACTAAAGCATTTATAGTCACTTAGAGTGACTCTGAGTACATCTCTTGTAATTTGAGATTTATTTTATTACTGGGTTAAGTATTTTTTTAAATAAAAATAAGTAGGATATTGGTGCCTCCTATTGCTGACTGCTTCCAATAGTCAGCTGTGTAAGCTGAAATCTGTGAGTGGTTAGTCTATTGGAGCAGGTTTAGGCAAACTGTTTTCAGAGGAAGTATCATAAGATGACCCCATTCTCAATGACCTGTAAGAATAACAGATTGCCTCACTCATGATGGGAAAAATTATTTCACAATACTCTTTCTTGTAGTTGACCATATAGTGAGGCATTGTCAGGTCTTTAGAAGACAGTGAGGGCTTCATGTTTCAGCTGCGTGTTTTCTACAGAATGCCTATTATTTAGCTCACGTATCCTTTCACAGTTGCCATACTTGTGAGGCTCTCAATAAATGAAAACACAGTTGTAGACTGCCATAAATTATCATGCAACCTGCTGGTTGACTATTGGGTGAACAGCCTATGATTAAATTTTTTTTTTCAAAATGTAAACAAAGGTCTAATAAAAATAGTTTTTTATCCCACAAGTATAAAACAGATTTTATTTTCATATATGAATATTGCTTTTTGTGTTATTTTATACCATAATAAAAAATATCAAATTCCAAAACAGCTTTAAATGGTGTCATTATCCTGTGTGTCAACCATTTCATTGATATGATTATTGCATGCATATTTTCATTAGCAATTTTTATTGGCTTAGCATGATTGACTATGTAATTTTCAGTGTTGTCCAATGTTTTTTGCATTGTATTTATTCGTGTTGTTTGATGTAGTCAAGTGTTGTTTGTGAAATAAGATGTATGATTGTCTTAAGTTAATAATCCTTTCTTATGAAATTTCTTATAAAGTTATTATTTATATGTTGTTACATCTGTTTCAAATTTGTAATTTATAAAAATGTATTTGTAATGGTATAGAATTATTATTTAATATTTCTTTGATTTTATTTCTATTCTATAAGAGAGTTTTTTTTTCTTAAATATTAAAAATTTTTTTTGTAGATTGGCTGCTCTGAGAAATTAAAGTACTTTACTGTCCATTGGAAATGAATAACCAATATGTATGTTCAGTTTCAATTTTGTGATTATTACTTATCTGAAAGATAAACCGTAAAAACATTACCTGCCATATTAACTCTGAGGCTGTGAATATATATTATAAAGGGAGTTTCTTTCAGTGAAACCTTCCGAAAACAATTTATTTCTATAGAGTTTATCACCTTTTGAGATTTGGCAAATTTTTGTTTTCGTAATAACTGCAACCATAAAACAGTTTTCATACTAGTACCTATCTGTGCCTTGCCTTTTTTTTTTATGCCAAATGTTTGTGATTCAAGTTGAATATATAAAATACATATTGCGCTGTAAAATTCAATGTATCCTGTAAATAAAATAAATAAAATATAGTCTTGGAAGAACTGTTAAAGTTGATATATTAATTTAGAACTTTCTAGTGTGTTATTGTATATTACTAGAATTTTCTAAACCATTATATGTATAATATGTAAAATTCCTTTTTAACTGTATATTGTGATTATGAAATAATATAAAATCCTTTTTTAAGAATAATTTATTAAAAACATATCTGATAATTTTTGGTGAATATTAGTATATCGCTATTAATTAA